GGATGGGAGGGATGGGTTTCTAGCTGGAGACAGGGCTCATCGAGCAAATGTGGATGCTACCCCCTGCTTTTCCTATGGCTAACAGGGGGCTTCTCTTCCAGCCTTCGAGAGGGGCCACTGCTATGAGCCCTACATCCAGAATGGGAACTTCACCACCTCTGACCCCACCTACAACCTGGGCACCACCGTGGAGTTCACGTGCGACCCCGGGCACTCCCTGGAGCAGGGCCCCGCCATCATCGAGTGCGTCAACATGCGCGACCCGTACTGGAATGACACAGAGCCACTGTGCCGAGGTCAGTCCCCGTGCCATGGGGCGATGCACTGTTGGTATTGGATACCCCCACAACCCTGGCTGAGCTCTGCCGGCCTCTTGCTCCTGCAGCCATGTGTGGAGGGGAGCTAACTGCCGTGGCCGGGGTGATCCTGTCCCCAAACTGGCCGGAGCCCTACGCAGAGGGGGAGGACTGCGTCTGGAGGGTCCACGTCGGTGAAGACAAGCGTCTTTTTCTGGACATCCAGCTGTAAGTAGTCCAGACCTCGGTGCATGTCTCTGCCCAGCCAGTGCTCAGCCTACTTTGCTGCAGAATCCCATCTCCTGCCACCCCAGAGACCCATGCCTTTTCCCTGCTCTCCCTCTCAGAGTTTTCTTAATCCCCTGCGATGCCCTCAGCATCCAGGAGTAAGTCCAGGGCACTAGGAGTGCTGCTCCCTGACTTCAAAGTGGTCACACCCCCCACTGCAGCAGTTAATTGCTATTGAGGTGGCTCCTGGTCTTCTCCAGAGCAAAGCCACAGGGAATGGTGTCACAGCAGCACGCGGCCACGTGCAGCTCAGGGTGACACGCAGCGCCGTCACGAGCTGGTTCATTGGCACGATAATGCTGCTGATGCAACGGGAATCTCCTTCAGTGCTATTCTAGGTTTTTAAGAGGAGAACGTGTTTCAAGTAAGGGCTTAGAGTCATAAAGGTTTTAAAGCTCTCTGTAAAACCAGAAGTCAGAGCTCCTGGTGCACCTCTCCTGTCTTTGTGGATGCTTGGGCTGAGCAGAACTGGAGGCTGGGCGATTTGAAGTCATCAGGCATAAATGTCACTGAGAAAATCGTGTTTGACAGAAAGCAGAGATTTACTACAAATGTCAGCTTGCCATGGGGATTAGCTGGGTGCCTTCCAAGAACATTCTTAATAAAGCGTTTGAAGATCGGCTCAAGCATCTTCAATCAAGGGTGAATTAGATGAGGCAGGGGTCCCGCAGTGCCCAAGCATGGATGCCGCCTGTGT